CTTCCTTCCTTCCTTCCTTCCTTCCTTCCTTCCTTCTCCACCTCCCTCCCTCCCTCTCCCTTTCTCTTTCTTCCCTCCCTCCCCCGCTCTTCATTTTAACCCCAAACCACCTCCGGCCCAAGTCCAGCCAAGCCCAGGACAGTGCTGAAGACCAGCCTCGTTTCTCCTCCAGCAAGGCAGCCGAAGACCGCGGTGGATGGCTGAGGAAACAGGGCGCCCTGTGCCTATTCTGCATCTGCATCTTGGCAGCCCCTGAAAAGGCCTCCTGGGCTGGGTGGCTGCAGCACTCAAGCCAAGCCCGTTTCTGCCTGCTCCGTAATGGAAGAGCGACGCTGGAGCTTAGGGTTGGAAGGGGCCCTTGAGGCCATCCAGCTCAACCCTGCGGTCAGGGCAGGATCCAGGTTAAGGCATCCCTGAGAGACGGCGGCTCAGACTCTGCTTGCACCCCACAGGTGAAGGGGCCTCCAGTACCCCTGTGGGTCACTGGCTCCACTGCCCGACCGTTTCATTAGTAGGAAGCTTTTTCTAACATTCATCGGCACCGGCTTCCTACCCCTTAAAGACCTTTCTCCAGGTCCCACTCTTCTTCTGTGCCACTGGGAAGAGAATTATCACGCTCCATCAGTCATCTTTTCCCAAGGCTAAAACTCTCTCTGTAGTTGCTCGTCCCCTGACCCTTCTCCCTCCTGTACTGGGCAGGTGCTCCGATTTGTCTAAACCTTAAAATTGGGGTTGCCCAGAACTGGACACAATTCTCGAAAGTGGCATCTGAACAATGCAGAATATAGAGTAATAGTCTTACGTCTTGTGTTTGGAAAACTATATTTCTACTGATGTAGCCTAAAGCATTACATTTGCCTTGTTTGCAGTCATGTTACACTACTGGATCAAATTTAATTATGAGCCTCTACAACTCCATTTTCCAATTACGAAGCGAGATACCCCATTCTTGACCTGTGCATTTGATTTCTGACAGGGTTCCAGAAAGTCTTGGGGGAAGTGGAGGCACTCCACAAAATGGCTACTTTGGACCCAGTTAGTGGGATTCGATGTTTCCAAAGCCAGGACTAGAGAGATTTGACCAGGTTAAGCATGCTGTGTGAAAAAAAAGCCACAGAATTGTGGCTAAGATGAATGGACTTTCTACAAACTGTGGACTTTGGTTAAAATGCTCCTCATTAATCTCATTAATCTCCAACCAGCCCTATTTCCAACGGTGGGCAGCCAAGCATTTTTTATGAAATCTCACACATCTGGGGGCTGCTTTGAACCCCCCCCCCCATTTCCCAGTCTTTCTCTCTTTGGCTCCCTTTTTATGTGCATGTTAAAAAGAAGCAGGGCATCCATCACACGGCCGTGACTGCCATCATGACTTTTTTGACCCCCTCCTTGCGGATATCCCCCTGCTTCTAGGAAAGCAACTCCAACCTCCAGATCATCCTGGTTGTTTCTTTGGGTGCTTCGGGAAACGGTCTCAACTTCACACCCCAAAACGCTCTTGGTAAAATCCCGCCAAGGTTATCACGAATTCAACCGGTGAAGAGCCGGCTCCCTGCCGCCTCGCACGAGCATGACTTACCTGCACATGATCTCGTGAGTTAATAACACTCGGCACATCTCGGGGTTCTTATCCTGACCTTCATAGATGATTGCCTGGAACAGGAGGGAATCAAGGGGGAGATGCGACTTTAGGAAGTGCCCAGATGGTTCATGCGCAAACCTGCTGGTCTCCTGCACAAGCACATAATGCGCCATTCTGCACAGGGCTTAAGTTATGGATGTCTCCCTCCCTCCCTTCCTTATGGGCACCCTTCAGTCTGCCCAGTTGGTCATAAGGAGGGGGGGAGTTTCTGCCCAGAACAGCAGCAGCATCTCCACTGGCTTCTGAGATTGGCCAACCCTCACCCAACCGTGATGGCGGCCTCCCTGCAGACATCTACATGCAAGGGTGCCCTCCAAAACAATGAGCTGCAGCCCATGGGGGGCCCTTCCCCAAAGTAGCAAACCCCATGTCCTCCTGCTTGCCTTCCTGCCTGCCTTCAGCTTCCTGGGACTGCCTTGTAGCAGATGGAGACCCCAACCTGAAGCCTTCCAAAGGGGTAGGACTACATCAGTCCAAACTAACATAGTCTTACTATATAGTCCAGCTCTGGGCACTGAGTTCTAAAATGAAAAATACGGTGACCTAGATTCAACACAATGCAATTCGAGAACTTTAATCGTGGCTTGGTTCACCCGGTGCACTTAAGGGAGAACCAAAACGTAGTTGCGTTTGGACAACCTCCAAACCTTGGTTAACTTTAACTATGGTTTCTGGGGAGGGGAGGGGCACTGGGTGTCTTCTGCAAATGCCGCCCTTGAGGTTAGTTTAGGCTTCAGTGTATGGAGTGAATGCAGCAAACTGGATGACTCAGGAACCAGATCCAATGCGACTGGATTACTGCACTGCAATCTATGTGGGGCTGCCCTTGAAGATGACCTGGGAAGTTCAGCTGCAAGAGGGGGGGCACAACAGCAGGGATTTGGGGGGGCTCCCCTCTCATGAAACAACCTGCCATCCTTCTGGAGCCTTGCAAAAACTTAAGCTCTTCCCAAAGACCTTTGGGGGTTCAGTGTAAAGGGGTCACTGCCAGGGCCAGAATGGTGATTCCCGTTGGCATCGTATGATACATGGATGCTGCTCAGAGTCTCTGGGGTTGATCAACATATGAAATGAAATGAAATGCGCCTTGGGTGACCACAGCAAGGGAGATGCTGGCCCTTGGGCATCACCTCGCCTCCTTCAGGGCCCTTCCCCATCACCTTTCTGGTTGGGAACTCCCTGGGGTCTCCCTGCATTGATCTTTAGCACAAGCCACATCAGGGAGGCAGAACTATTCCTGGGACTTTGGGCTCATCCTCCAATTAAGTCAACCTCTGGTCCAGTGTTTCTCAACCTTGGCCGCTTGAAGATGCGTGAACTTCAACTCCCAGAATTCCCCAGCCAGCCCTGCCCTAACCCTAACCCTGCTGGCTGGGGAATTCTGGGAGTTAAAGTCCACGCATCTTCAAGTGGCCAAGGTTGAGAAACACTGCTCTAGTCCAATAAAGATGTGACAGATCTGACAGTCGCAGATCATTGGGGAGATTTCTATCCATGGCGACCTCTTTTTTAGCTACTTTGGGACCTGTAACCTGTTTAGAGAAATCTGGGTTGATGCACTGTATGACTTGCAGGATTAACCAGTGGCATGTGAACAGACACATGTTGGTGTATGAATAAATTCTAGGCACATGCAAGGTTTTGGTGTCAAAACTGAGAAGATGTTTCAGAGAGATGTTGGGTGCACTGTCAACGCCTCCTGAACTCAAACATGTACTGTCCTGGAATTGCACAAACTCTTTAAGGAGGCACAAATGAGGGATGTAATCGGAGGCACATTTGGAGTTTAACGTTTTTCAAACGGATTATCCCAGCTGAGTGGACATCACCGTCCTGCTACTTCATTGCATGTATTGTTGGCAATATGCATGCTATCTCATAGATGTGTGACCAGCGTCACACATGAAACATGTCCTTCAGAAACTGGTTACAGTTAGACTGGGAATTTGCCTCTGGAACATTAAAAACCTGTGATAATGACTTCATGGAGATGTCTGTATAGGGTTTTTTGGGGGGAGCAACATGGAAGTGGGTTCTCACTGTCT